CCTCTTTTCGCGAGGGTTGACACCATCTAAAGGGTATATATACCGAGCGACCCTTTTCTATTCTCTTGCGACACCACTCAAAGCCCTAGCCCTAGCCCTAGCCCTAGCCCTAGCCCTAGCCCTAGCCCTAGCCCTAGCCCTAGCCCTAGCCCTAGCCCTAGCCCTAGCCCTAGCCCTAGCCCTAGCCCTAGCCCTAGCCCTAGCCCTAGCCCTAGCCCTAGCCCTAGCCCTAGCCCTAGCCCTAGCCCTAGCCCTAGCCCTAGCCCTAGCCCTAGCCCTAGCCCTAGCCCTAGTCCTTTTCCTTTTTCCTATTCCGGCAATTTCAACCGGCAATTCCCATTCCATTTTCCCTTCTCCTCTCTCGCGATCTCTCCCCCTCATCCTCCATGGATTCTCAAGCTTCTCCATTTGCCCCATCTCAGAAATGATCTCGCACCTCCACCACTTACACCGCTATCCCTGTGACTTCCAATCTTCCTATTCTTCAATTCAAGAACAATGACTGCAAATCGGCCTTCAACAAGGATTTTAATTTGCATAAGGTACTTTCTGGTCACACTATTGACATCGATTTCTTTGAAAAGCATTTTATTCCAGTCAAAACATGGTTTGATACTCAGAAATGGTCCTCTCTCTTAAAACTTGACTGTGCTGTTTATCCAACCCTCATTAAAGAATTCTTTGCAAATCTTTCATATAATGAGGAATCTTCTCCCAATACTTCAGATTGTTTTGTGAAGGGTGTCTCTTTCACTTGGAAACCCTCTATTGTTAACTCTATTCTGAAAACCTCTAATGATGGCCATAGAGTTTCCCCTTCTGTTAGCATAAACCCACCAAATTACACACATCTCACTGGACTGAAATTTCTCACTAACAATCCAACCCTAGACCATCACATTTCTGTCGCTGGAAAAGATCTTTCATTGGAACTAAGGCTCTTGCATCAAATCATCCCACACAATATCATTCCTCGGTCTGGTCGTTTTGATGCTATTACCTTTGGTCATACTTTTCTTATCTGGGCCTTATCCACTGGTTACCTCACTGATTTTGGGTATTTGGTATGTCACTGTATTATCAATGCACACAAACAAAACAACCAAGCCCTTCCCTGCAGGATGATTTTCAACAAAATTTTCAAACATTTTAAAATCGATCTCAAAGGTGAAGAAAATGTTTCCCCAAGACTCGGCCAGTTATGGCTCTGAAACACTGAGCCACAGGGGGTTTTCTTTAATCGATAATGTGTGGACCAAGACCAAAAAACATGACTCTGCCCTTGCTCCTTGCAATCCTGCTCCATCTCCTTCCACTCTACCTAGCCCTTCCTCCCTTCAATTCTCCACTCTTGGTCCTTCCTCCTCTACTCCTACACCACCTTCTGACCTCTTCTCTCTCTCTCTCAAAATTGATCACCTTGATTCTCTTGTTCAAGGTCCTTTATTCGTTGGGATTGCTGAACTTAATTCGAGGCTTAACAACCTCAACCTGAATCCTCAATCCACTCCTGCTTCTGATCTTCCATCATCCTCCCATTCTGCCTCCGCTTTATCCTCTTCTGCTCTGGAACGAAAAGTGGATCAGTTGGTTTCTTTAGTTCAACAACTTCTTTCTCAGCAGATGAACATGCAGCATGATATCAGCAGGATGAAGATTCAGCAGGCTCAAGCTATGGAAGCTGCAAAGACCAGTGTTGAAAGGATGGTCATCGCTGTCTATGGGCTCAAGCACTCCAATGAAGAATTCAAACAGATTTTCCAACAGCGATGGGACGACGACCCTGGCAAACAAATTCGCAAGTTTCTGCTTTGGTTCGCACAAGGGTGGCGTGAAGTAGCATCTCATTGGCCTCGCACTCCTCCACCTTTTTGCTAGACTTTGCTCTTCTTTTTGATGATGCCAAAGGGGGAGAAGTGTTTAGATGTTTTTGATGTTGTTTCTGCTGTAATTAAACTAATGTTTTGTTGAAATTCCTAACTGTTAAGTTTTTGTTGACAACGGGGAGAAATATTTAGTTTGGTGATGTACATGGTAAATTGTCTTACGTATAGTCAGTTATTTTTGAATGACAACCAAATGAGAATGGTTTTTGATTTGAATGAATTTGTAGTATAGCTATTTTGAAAGGTTAGTTGTTATGCTCGTCAAGATTTATCTTGCTAACAACTTTTATGAATTTGAACTTAGATAATTACATTGTTGAAATATGACTTCTTATTATAAAATAAAAAAAAAATTTGTTTATGATTCAAAGGGGGAGAAGAACCTGCGCTGTTGGTACAAGAGCTTGTGATTTCATTCAATGAAATTAAAGCAATAACAATTCATATTTGCTATTGATCCAATGCACATTGACGGGGGGAGTATTGCTATACTTAAGCTTGTTCTATTTATGCAAAATTCTTATGCATTTATATTGAGTTTTGACTTGAAAATGATTTGGCCATGAAGCCCTCTTTATAGGGGAGTTTTCGATCTCAATTTCTAAATTCTTTATTTCACAAAACTCTTTGAAAAACACTTATTAATGTCTTTGTTTTGAAACTCATACTTTGAAAACTTTTCATATATTTGTCACCATCAAAAAGGGAGAGATTGTTAGCCCCAAGGTTATTCGAATTTAAATTCTTATTAAATTTTGATTATTGACAAATATTTTGAACTCATTTATTTATCCAAAGTTTCCAAAATAATATTATATTATTGCTCTTCATTGTTTCTAACAGATGAATACTGCAAATCTGTCATGAATATTGGTACATCAAAAACATGGAATTAGCACATACATGCAAAACACTATTTGTGCTTTAAATAGGCACAAGGGTCGCCACCAAGACAGCAAGGGTCGACACCAGAATAAAGTACACAATGCCTAAGTGTTGTAGCAACCAAGGGTTGACACCAAGAATGACAAGGGTTGACACTAAATTTCAGTACACAAGGCTCAGACAATTCAGCAGCAAGGGTCGACCCTTTCAGACAATCCAGTAGCAAGGGTCGACACCAAGAATGACAAGGGTCGACACTTAATTTCAGTATATAAGGCTCGGACAATCCAACAACAGGGGTCGACACCAAGAATGACAAGGGTCGACACTAAATTTCAGTATATAAAGTTCAGACTTCCAGCAAACAAAGGGTTGACACTCAGTTATGAAAGGGTCAACACCAGGAACACCTAGAAATCAACACAAAGAAGAAAAGAGAGCAAAGAGTCGACACCAAATCTACAAGGGTCAACACCCTTAAATCTAGCCTAGCCACCTATTCAGAACTATTCTGACACAACTCAAATCTTAGCCGCTTTTTTTGACCTATGCGCAGAATAGCCATTGTTTCTGATATGTGAGTAGACATTTTTGACACAATATCTTCTAGTATCAGCTTCCAAGATTTAACTTAAGAGCTTATGCATTTCATGTGGCTCTACTTCCAAAGACTTGATGACAGCTTGTGCACACCCATGAACTGCCCCATACAGCTAGAAGATATCACCCATGACCTGCTCTAACAGCTAGAAGACTCACCCATGCTTTTCTCCAATGGCTATAAGCCATTGAAGCTATAAATGAAGAAGAACTCCATATCTAAAAGAACTCACTAACACAAAAACTCTGAGCATTCAATAACTTTCATTTATCATACTCTATTGTACTTCCACTTTCATATTTGAGTGTATTAAAAAATCCCTCTGCTCTTTCACTTTCATATTTATCTTTGGAGAGAAATATTTTGCAAAAAGAGGACAGTTATACCTCTTATTCTTATTCCCTTATTTCTAAGTGAAACACTTGTGAGGTGAGGCATTTCAACGGATAAAGTAAGTCCTATCTAAAAATCCACATGCTAGGTGAAACTCAGTGATGTATTGATTCGATTCATAGTGAAGGAATTCTCAAGGAGGTACCTTGAGGAGTGGACGTAGGCCGGTAAGACGAACTATAAATCTTTGTATTTGAACTATTCTCCCCTTCTCCTCTATTTTCGGTATAATTGATTGCTTTCTGAATTTATTTACTTGATTAATTGCAATCAATTTTTTGCTCATTTTTTAATTATCCAATTCACCCCCTCTTGGATGGCCTACATGGGTAAGAGGAGTGGACGTAGGCCGGTAAGACGAACTATAAATCTTTGTATTTGAACTATTCTCCCCTTCTCCTCTATTTTCGGTATAATTGATTGCTTTCTGAATTTATTTACTTGATTAATTGCAATCAATTTTTTGCTCATTTTTTAATTATCCAATTCACCCCTCTTGGATGGCCTACATGGGTAACAATATATATATATATATATATATTCAACCAATCATTTTGAGATTGTATATTTGAAAAAAAATTCAAAAACGCTGAAAAATCATGTTAGGACTTCGAAGCTCCCAACTACTCTTGTACAAAAAATACTATGCTATAGCAATATATATAGATCACTCACCAGCATTTAAAGGTCTTTAAAAGGTTGTTATTTTAATTTTTTACAAAAAAAAGTACAGAAAAAGAGGAAGATGCAATTGAATATTTCAACTTTTTAGTTATTTTAGCCAAAAAAAAAAAAAAAAAACCAACCCCAAATAGGCCCTTAAGATTAGATTAGATTAGGTTAAAGTTGGATTCAGTTTGTGCTATTGGAATCACCTCACTTTTGTTATTGATAGAAATCATTCATACCTTTGACAACATTAAATCCTAACTTTTTTTTTTGGATTAAATCCTAGCTTTTATAGGTATGCAGATTGATCCTATTCAAAATCATATTTGGATTCATTCATCAAAGTCCCATATATGGGATGACAAAATAGTAATCAAATCAAAATTAGTTTTATTGTTTATATTGTTGACAAAGTTGAGGACTTTCCACACCAAAAACACACGACTCTTCCAATTCGGACAATGTAGGTAAACCATAAAATAAATAATTAAAAAAACAATTCATATCACTTTTTCCTTCAGGAATTTTCTCGGCAACCAAACAGAAAACAAATCAAAACAACTCACCTTATTACCCAGTAAGAATCCCAATAGTAAACCTCTCTAAACCTCGACCCGGGTATTATCACCGGTTTAGTCAATGGAAGCAGAGTATGAAACTCGGGCCGGTCCAAGACCCGGTCCGACACTTTCCGGCTCAAATTCTTCCATAGCGAATGAACCTCCAAAGCCCAAGCCCGAACCTCCCGGTTCAAAACCTCCGGCAAAAAACCCTCCGGTTCGGGCACGAAATCGACCGGTTCAGTATAAACCAAATCTTCTCCAGCACCATTGAAGTAGCTCTGAATAAACCCATTAAAATCGGTAACCGATACAGATCCATTGGGGGTCCTTGGAAGATCATCGAATGCGTTATGGGTAATTGAAAGATTGGATTTTAATGAAAGATCTACGTAGAGTTTTGGGTCGAAGTTTTTTGGACCCAAGGTGTTGAGTGCAGTCTTTTGGAGAATTTCAAGAAAGGTGATTAATGGAGTTTTGGCGACTACTGGGCCTGAGTTAGAACATGTCGAAGTTGGAGTTGGAGTTGACATGGGTATGGATGTGAAGATGAGAGAGAGGATGAAGATGATGAAGATAGAGAAAGGGTGGGGGATTATGGGATTAAAGCTTGCCATTTTTTAATGGTTGAAGAAGACATTGTGATCTGCGTATATATATAAATACGATATGAAGAAGAATGATTGCAGAAGAAGAAGAAGCAGAAGAGGAGGCCGGCACTGGGTTGGCTCGGTTTGGAAGCTTTGATTTTGGATGTTTCGATGAGTACTCTGTCATGAATTCTGGTAGAGCCTTTCTTAGGTGTGCAGTGCACGCCATGTGCACCCCAGTTGTTTGGGGGACGTGAATTTAGGATTTGATTAATAATTTAATAAAATTATTAATTTGATATTTGGTTAAATAATTAAAAAATTATTAATTTGATATTTGGTTAAATAATTAAAATATGAATTAATAATTTATTTGGATATTGTATTTTAAATATGATGAATTATTCAAACTCACATAGGAGTAATATATAAATTAAAGGAGTAAATCAAAGTCTGGACTATTAGTCCCTCTTTATAATCCAAACTCAATCCAAACATAGGTTATGATACACAATTCAAAGGGGTTCGTAGTCATAAGACTATTAGTCATGCGAATGCTAATGTAACCTAATCCAGTTCGTCCAAACAAACATGACTTTATGCTTTTAGGTTATACAAATTCGTGTTAAGATTTATATAAAATAATGTTAAAACTTATATATTGGTGACCGGCAAAGCAAGCCACCATACAGGTAAAATTAATAAAATAATAAGTTATACTATATACGTGTAAATAATTTAAAAAATATATATACACCTTGCTTGGTTTTTAGTTTTTCAAAACACTTTTCAGAAAATTCTACTTTCTTATTTTCCGTGTTTTTTTGTTTTTACTGAATTTTTTTAATATTTTAAGCAATTTTTTTTTTACTTTTTAAACACACCTAACATAAATACACTTAAAAAGTAAAAAAATTATAAAAAAACCTTTTAAAAATTTACTAAATACCAAAAATATAAAAAAATACAAGAATTCAGTATATTTTTTATATTTTTATGTATTTATTAACTTTTTAAAATATTTTTTCACAAATTTTTTACTTTTTAGATACATCTAAGTAAGGTGCATCTAAAAAAGTAAAAAAAAATGTTTAAAATTTAAAAAATATTCACTAAAAATAAAAAAACACAAAAACCAAAAAAGTCAATTTTCAAAAAACTTAATCCAGAAAACTCAAACCAAACACAGTGATAAGTTTTCACAAAAATATGTAAGTACATTCACAAAATACAAAAGTTTCACAAAATACATAACTTTTCACAAATCACGTAAGTGATTTTACAAAAACTCTAAGTTAACACAAACCTTGGGTAAGTTTTTACAAAATTCGTAAGTTTTCACAAATCACGTAAGTTATTTTACAAAAATGTGTAAGTAAACACAAAAATAGATAACTGTGTTAAGAAAAATTAAATTTTTACAAAATGTATAAGTTTTCACAAATCATGTAAGTTACTTCACAAAAACGCATAAGTGAACACAAAAATGGATAAGTGTGTTAAGAAAATTTTTTACAAAATGTGTAAGTTTTCACAAATTATGTAATTATTTCACAAAACTCGTAAGTGAACACAAAAAACAAATAAGTTTTCACAAAATGGAAAGTTTTCACAAATCACATAAGTGTTTCACAACAACCAGTAAGTGAACGCAAAAAAAATGGATAAGTTTGTTCCTAACAAATAAGTTTTCACAAATCACATAAGTTATTTTACCAAAACGCGTAAGTGAACACAAAAAACAAATAAATTTTTACAAAACGAGTAAGATTTCACAAAATACGTAAGTTTTCACAAATCACGTAAGTTATTTCACAAAAACGCGTATGTGAACACAAAAAATAAATAAGTTTTTACAAAATGTGTAAGTTTTCACAAATCACGCAAATTATTTTACAAAAATCCGTAAGTAAATGCAAAAATAGGTAAGTATGTTAAGAAAAATTAAGTTCTCACAAAATGGGTAAATTTTCATAATTCATGTAAGTGTCTCACAAAAATTCATAACTTAACCCAAAAAATGAGTAAGTGTATTCCCAACAAGTAAGTTTTCATAAAATGGGTAAGTTTTCATAAATCACGTAAATGTTTTACAACAATCCATAAATTAACACAAAAAATGGGTAAGTGTGTTAAGAAAAATTAAGTTTATACAAAAAGTGTAAGTTTTCACAAATCAAGTAAGTTATTTCACAAAAACCCGCAAGTGAACACAAAAATGGGTAAGTGTGTTAAAAAAAATTAAGGCTCTGTTTGTTTATGTTTTCAAACTAGTTTTCTACATCAGAGTTTGAATATGATGTTTGTTTAGTGTTTTAAAATCACGTTTCGAAAGCTCTGCGGAGAGCTCTGTCTCAGTCGCGCTTTTCAGAATTTTTTTTTGAAAATTTTGTCTGACGGGACGTCCGGCCGGAATAATGATTTTTTTTTTTTTTTTGCAATTAATATGTTAATTTTTATATAATCGAAAAAAATATTTTCTAAAATTTTTAAATTTTTTTATGTGTTTTAAAATAATTTTGAATTGTATGTTTAGTTATGAGTTGTAAATTTTTGTATCAAATATCAAATGTCACATCAACAATTCCTTACTCAAATCAAAACTCTTTTCAAAATTATTTTCAAAACTCTTTACCAAACAAATTTTCTACACTCAAATCATAATTCCAAACCCCACAAACTCAAAATACAACTCATACTCTCAAATCATAATTACAAAACACAACCAAACGCAGGCTAAGTTTTCACAAATCACGTAAGTGTTTCACAACAACTCGTAAGTCAACACAAATAATGGGTAAGTGTGTTCCCAACAAATAAGTTTTTACAAAATGTGTAAGTTTTCATAAATCACGTAAGTTATTTTACAAAAGCACGTAAGTGAACACAAAAATGAGTAAGTGTGTTAACCTCCGTTTGGGAAGTGGGTTGGCTTTTTGACTTTTTTGTCTATTTTAGCTTGAGCTAAAAAGTTTTGTTTGGGAAAGACATTTTGACTTTTTGACTTTTTTGGCTTTTTTTGTGAGAGAAGAGTAATGATTATGAGTTGGATATGATGTTTTGTTTGTTGTGGCTAAAATAGCCTATTTTGTCTTTTGTGGCTATTTTAGTCACAAACCAACTTGCCAAACACCACCTAAGAAAAATTAAGTTTTCACAAACCACGTAAGTGTTTCACAACAACTCGTAAGTTAACACAAAAAATGGGTAAGTGTGTTCCCAACAAATAAGTTTTCACAAATCACATAAATTATTTCACAAAAGCCCGTAATTGAACACAAAAATGGGTAAGTTTTCACAAATCACGTAAGTGTTTCACAAAAATCCGTAAGTTAACACAAAACATGGATGAGTGTGTTCCCAACAAATAAGTTTTTACAAAATGGGTAAGTTTTCACAAATCACGTAAGTATTTCACAACAACCCGTAAGTTAACACAAAAAATGAGTTAGTGTGTTAAGAAAAATTAAATTTTCACAAAATATGTAAGTATTCACAAATCACGTAAGTCATTTCACAAAAACCCGTAAGTGAGCACAAAAATGAGTAAGTGTGTTAAGAAAAATTAAGTTTTCACAAAATGGATAAGTTTTCACAAATCACGTAAGTGTTTCACAACAACCCGCAAGTTAACACAAAAAATGGGCAGGTGGGTTCCCAACAAATAAGTTTTCACAAAATGTGTAAGTTTTCACAAATCACGTAAGTTATTTTACAAAATCTCGTAAGTTAACACAAAATGGGTAAGTGTATTAAGAAAAATTAAGTTTTCACAAAATGGATAAGCTTTCACAAATCACGTAAGTGTTTCACAACAACCCATAAGTTAACACAAAAAATGAGTAAGTGTGTTCCCAACAAATGAGTTTTTACAAAATGTGTAAGTTTTTACAAATCACGCAAGTTATTTCACAAAAACCCGTAAGTTAACACAAAAATAGGTAAGTGTGTTAAGAAAAATTAAGCTTTCACAAAATGAGTAAGTTTTCACAAATCACGTAAGTGTTTCACAGCAACCTGTAAGTTAACACAAAAAATAGGTAAGTGTGTTTCCAACAAATAAGTTTTCACAAATCACGTAAGTGTTTCACAACAATCCGTAAGTTAACACAAAAAATGGGTAAGTGTGTTCCCAAGAAATAAGTTTTCACAAAATATGTAAGTTTTCACAAATCACGTAAGTTATTTCACAAAAACTCATAAGTTAACACAAAAAATGGGTAAGTGTGTTCCCAACAAATAAGTTCTCAAAAAATTGGTAAGTTTTCACAAATCACGTAAGTGATTTGACAAAAATGCGTAAGTGAACACAAAAATAGGTAAGTGTGTTAAGAAAAATTAAGTTTTCACAAAATGCATAAGTTTTCACAAATCATGTAAGTGTTTCACAAATATGGGTTAACACAAAAAATGAGTAAGTGTGTTCCCGACAAATAAGTTTTACAAAATGGGTAAGTTTTCACAAATCACATAAGAGATTTCTCAAAAACATGTACGTGAACACAAAAATGGATAAATGTGTTAAAAAAAATAAAAATAAAATGGATAAGTTTTCACAAATCACATAAGTGTTTTACAAAAACTCGTAAGTTAACACAAAAAATGGGTAAGTGTGTTCCCAACAAATAAGTTTTCACAAAATAAGTAAGTTTTCACAAATTACGTAATTGTTTTCACAGAAACGAGTAAGTGAACATAAAAATGGGTAAGTGTGTTAAGAAAAATTAGTGTTTAGTAGAGCTTTAAAATTATGATTTGAGAATAGAGTTGTATTTTGAGTTTGTGAGTTTTTGAATTATGATTTGAGTGGAAAATTTATTTGGTTATGAGTTTTGAAAAGAGTTTTGAATTGAATTTGAAATGAATGATGTAACATATGATATTTGATTCAAAAACTTACAACTCATAACCAAACACATAATCCAAAATTCTATTCAAAGCTCATAAAAAATTTAAAAAAAACTCTGAAAATATTTTTATTTAAAATATAAAAATAACAGGTGCAAAAAAATAAAATAAAATAAAATAACCCGAACACTGTTTCGGTCAATCGGCAGGGCAACCGGCCGAACATCCGGGAGGATGACCGGGTAGACATGTTTTAAAAAGTGGGTGTGCAATCAATTTTTGAAAACGCTAACCAAACAGTACACTCAAACCAAGGGGTGGAACTTTCATGAGCTCTACCAAACAGAGGTTTTCATAGAATGCGTACATTTT